CAGTTGTCCTGCTCTTCTTTTGCAAAAGTGTCCCTCATTCGCTTGCTCGCCAGCTCACTTTCTGCCTCGTCTCGACTGACTCTCCTCCTTTTGCGTGAATGAGTGGCTTTTCGCGTCAATTCGTCAGCTGAGTTGGGTTCGCCCAATTGCGTTGCATTTTCCCGCAATCCCACGACTAGAGCTGCTCTTTTCCATTCAATTCCCCACATGCTTGCTGTACCAAAAAGATGATTTCATATTCAGTTGTGCGACAAGACATGTGTCTTCCTCAGCTTAAAGGCGATCGGCTGAAGACAACTCACACGATTGTGCATTGATGCACGTCTCGGAGGCTACTTTTAGCGAAAACACACGACTCATGTGTGATTATGCATTGTGATCCGATGCGTGTGTGTTTTCCGTCCATTCTCTCCTCTCCACGTCAGAACTGGCTCGAGCATTTGGCGACCGAATGAGCGAGCACGGCGCCATCGCCAGCTCGGCCGGGCCTTCGGCGAGTCACTCATGCGTGTCGGAGGCGCCCATTGCTCAACTGCGTCGCGGTCAGGCGTTCACGGTCGAGTTGAACGAGTCGGCCGGCGCCGCGTGTTCGGCCACGCCGAGCGTGTCGACCGGCAGGTCGGACACGCATCAACGCCGCCGAGTGTTACAGCCGACCTCGGACGTCGACCTGTCGCGGCTGGACGCGAAGCGACACCAACTGAACGACGTCAACTCGAGTCCGGCGCGTCGGGCCAGTCTTGCGTTGAGTCAGTGCGTGCCGACGCGGTTGCGTCAGAGTCTGGCCGAGCGAGAGCGCAGGACGCAGCTGAGGCTGGAGCAGTTGCGTCGTCAGAACGGTCGAATGCACGCGAAGCCGGCCACGACGACGACGATGACGACGACGACGACGCCGACTCGCATGACTGCGCAACCCTCTTCTCGAGCCGACAAGGTAGGCCGAGTGCGCAGACGCTCGCAAGAGTTTACATTGTCCATTTCCTTCACATCTTCTTCTTGTTCTTTAGCTCGAGCCAGTTCGCAGAAATCTCCAATCCACTCACCGGCTCCGAGTGGCCTC